TAAACTAGAACTTCTATCCAGAGAAGAAGACAAAGACCCGGATCTCAGTCCACTAGTAACTGTAGGAGATCGGGCTGACGAGGAAGAAACCTTTGAGACTGACTTCCTGACTCCACTGCTAGCACTACTGTCCAATGAAGGCGTCACCCTTCTTGAAGATGAAGATGAAGATGAAACAGACAATGCTGGCTTGACAGAAGGTTTCCTGACAGTCTCTTGCTTAGTCACCTGAGACCCAGTTGATTTATTCAGGCTCCGGTCTAATGGCGATCCTGGAACCGACTTTCTAACCTCTGAAATACTCGTTCTAGTTGAAGATTTAGTAGTGCCAGCTGAAGGCAATGAACTCCTCCTAAGTTCTGGGAGAGACCGCCTTACAGTGTCCGTAGTCTTTTTCACTGCACTTGGAGCAGCTGCAGCATTGTTTTGCTGTCTCGTGGTGGAGACTGGTGGCTTCTGAGGCAAACCTCCAGTGCTGTTTCGCCTTGCTACCGGAACTGAATTTGAACTCCGGGAAGACACAGTTACACTTGACTTGTTGGCACTCGAACTAGGTTCCAAACCACTTTTGGGGTCTACTTTCTTTCTAAAAGAACTAGTTGGAACTGAGACCTTTGATGTAACCGCAGAACCAGGTTTCACAGTTTTGGCAACTCTTTTTGCAGTTTCGGATGAACGAACAGAGGCCTGTTTCTCTGGAATTCCGGGTTTTTCAGCTGGGTCTTCGCCTGATTGCACTAAATTGTCCTCCATTTTAGTTCACCAACCGAAAGCTACATTCCAACAACAGTGAACAAAGCCGAGTAAGTTTTTCGAGCCGCTGTGTTTGGTTTCCAAGAAAATGCAGAGGAAAATGAAAAGAAAAATAGGAGAAAATGAAAGACTTCTGTAAACATTTACACCGTTTACTCAACTAAGCTCAAAGCCTCAGAGTCATTCCTCACCTCCAATTTTCACCAACTAACTAAAGGGTAATCCAACTAAAACTTCATATGACAAAGCATTTCAGAAGCAAAACCTCTGCTCTTGTAAGTGAAAGATCATACTTGGATCTAGCACAAAATGCAGATTCTTAGCAAATACCCAAGCACCCAGTTCGATTGAAACTGGACAATGGACTTAGAGAAGAAACTCAAAGGACAAATTCAAACACACACACACACACATACAGACACAAATAAACACACAGATAGAGAGAAAAATATTAACCTGGACAATGTCTCAGATCTGGGGGGGTACAAAACCGAATCCGAAACTGTAAAGCATTTCTAGGGTTCGATTATTTTGGCAGGAGCTCAGAGCAGGCTTGGAAATGTCCGCTGCTTCGTGGCACCAAAAAAGCACCTAAAAAGCAATAGAGTGAGTGAGACACTGCACTCTTCGCTGAGCTAAGAAATGGAAAAGCTATTGGCTAAAGGCCAGGCCATGCCATGTGGGGATTAAAATATGATTGGAAAAAAGTTGTCTTCTAGAAAAAATTTGCAAATGTTAAAAAAAAAATGGCGGAAACTGTATTGCATTCAAAACACTGTGCAGCTCTCTGCGGAGTTGAAAAGGTCAAATGGATCTTGGAAATTGGAAATTGGAAATGGAAATAGGTTAGTGAAAACTAAGTACAGTCTGCTTTGGATAAATTATTCTGAGCTTTTCCTTTATTATATATTTTCCTTTTAAGCTCTTACCAAAACCACAAAAGTGACAGAATTTACTAAACCCACAAACATTCTTCTCTATTTTTTCCTTTTTGGTCTAACATTCTTTATCTTCTCTTTCTTTCTTTTTTAATCTCCATCTCTGTAATTGGAATTGTTCAAGACAGTGTAGCAGCATAAATACTTATACTGTATGAGCTTATTCTTATCTCAATACAAGATTCAACTTCAAAGTATGACAACATAGTTATTATTTCATCAAATTATTATTTTTTTATATACAAATTAGTTTGCTTACTTTAATTCATATTTATAATTAAGTAATATCTTAGCCTTATTTAATTAATTTAATTAGTAGTTATATTTTAATTATTATTTCTTTAGTGAATAATTAGTATTTAAATATTTAAATTAATTTCATCAATTACTCAATATTTTTAAAAAAAAATTGTACAAAATTAGTTTTTTTAGTTTAATATTTTTAATTAAGTAATATCTTAGCATTATTTAATTACTTTAATTAGTAATTATGTTTTATTTATTATTTATTTAGTGAATCCTTAGTATTTAAATATTTTAATTAAATTCATAAATTACTTCATAATAGTAAATAATTATATTTAATTATCTCAAATAATTTTTTGGACTTCAAAATTATTTTTAAATAGTTTCAATTATTTAAAAATCCTAGAAAATTATTTTAGTATTCCAAACCCTAAATCCAAGTAAAACAACCTAACTTCCAAACTTTTCCGAAATTGTTCCAAAACCATTCACCAAGCCTCGAACCCTAACACTAAACCTATTTTAGGGCACTTAGGACTCGATTAGGATTGAATAATGTAACTTGACCTAGGGCTTTACGATTAAGGTATCGATCTAAATCTTAGGTTAGTACAACGTAACCGGATTTAACATTGACTATGATATACAATTATGAACCGATCACTTGTCTCGGCGAATTTTGTCGGGATAGACCTACCTAGCAAACTTTTTGTCTACAGACAAACTTTGACGGGATAGACCTATCCTGGCGAATATGCGTCTCGATTGATATTTCCCGATGAAAATTTGTCGGGATTCTGACAACAAACCACTTGTTAAAAATCTACCTCAAGGCATACTCAACTAACTAGGATTAGGTCTGGCTACGTCGTACTAACTCTATATTGAGATCAAGAATCTAATCGTAAAACCTAGGTCAAGTTATGCGAGTATCCAAGCCTAATTGAGCCAAAAGTGCCTTAGAGTAGGCTTATAATTAGGGTTCAAGACTTGAGAACGGTTTTGGAACATCCATTTTTGGGCACTTAAAATAATTTTCTATGATTTTTAAATAAAATTAACTATTTTAAAAATACTTTTGGAAATGAAAAAGAATTAAATAATATCTATTAAGTAATTTCTGAAATTGATTAAAATATTTAAATACTAATTATTCACTAAAAATTAATAACTTAAAGCTAATTACTAATTAAAGCAATTAAATAAGGCCAGTCCCGATCTCTTGGACCACAGGAGTCAAAGAGATTGTGGTCACCCATCGTTGGAGATTGTGGTCACCCACTGTTGGATAGCAGCACATATTCTTCGGGTAAGTCTATCCCATCAAAGTTCATCAGGATACAATAATACAAATAGACCTAGTTTATGATTATTATGTAGATATAATCCCAAGCCCAAGTTCCACTCCACTAGGTCCACCTTCCATATAGCACATGTGGGAAGACTCTTACTTTATAAGGAGTTGAGATTTTCTCTTGTTTTTTCCAATGTAGGACACAAGTTAATGTATTTCATTCAAACTCCAAGAAGTAGTTAATATTATCGAATCACGTTGTGACTTGGATTTAGGGTTTGGAGGCTAAAATCCTTTTTTGGAATATAAAATTAGCTTCTTTAGTTTGTTTTTAGACAACTTTTTTATTTAATATATGTAATTAAGTAATATCTTAGTCTTTTTTAATTATTAATGAAAGTAATTAAACAAGGCTAAGATATTATTTAATTACAAAATAGAAAAAAAAAATTATTGACCTAAAGAAACACATGTCCTAACGAAATTTTGTCAGCATATGTCTATGTTGATGAATTTTGTCGGAAGAGGCCTAATCGGCAAATTTTTGCCCGTATATGTCTATGCCAACGAATATTCGTTTGGAGAGTTTTTTTTAATAAAAAAATATAAAAAATTAGCTTCTCTAATTTAATATATGTAATTAAGTAATACCTTAAACTTTTAATTACTTTAATTTGTAATTATGTTTTAATTATTATTTATTTAATGAATATTTATTATTTAAATATTTTAATAATTTCATGAATTACTTAATAAATAGTAATTAATTATTTTAATTTATTCGTGTGCACTTTGTTTTTTTATTTTTTAATACAAAATTAGTTTTTTTAGTTTAGTATTTGCAATTACGTAATATCTTAACCTTATTTAATTATATTATTATTAATTTAGTGAATAATTAGTATTTAAGTATTTTAATTATATTTACTTCTCTTAAATAATTTTGTGGACTTTAAAATTATTTGTAATTTTTGAATATATTTTTAATTTTTTTTTAATTATTTAAAAATCGTAGAAAATTATTTTAGTATTCTAAAAATGGATTTGAGCCTCCAAACCATAAATCTAAGTCTCAAACCGAAAACCCTAACTTCTGAACTTGTTCCAAAACCTATCTCAAGGCTCGAACCCTAACCATTAGCCTACTATGGGCATTTTTGACTCGATTAGGCTTGGATACTCACGTAACTTGACCTAAAGTTTTACAATTAAGATTTCGATCTCAATATACAGTTAGTACGACATAACCGAACCTAACCCTAGCTAGTTGAATGTGCCTTTAGGTGGATTTTAACAAGTGATTTGTTTAGGGATGGGCACGATCGGATAAGTTCGGAAGCTAATGTTTTGGTTCGAGGCTTGGATTTAGGGTTTGGAGGGTAAAATTCATTTTTGGAATACTAAAATAATGTTATAGGTTTTTAAATCATTGAAACAAATTTTAAAATAATTTCATAGATTAAAAATAATTTTATAGTCCACACAATTATTAAAGATAATTAATTACTATTTATTAAGTAATATATGAAATTAATTAAAATATTAAAATACTAATTATTCACTAATTAAATAAAGCTAAGATATTACTTAATTATAAATATTAAACTAAACAAACTAATAAGTTTATTAAACTAAACCAACCAAAAAAATAATAATAATAATCATTATGGGACGACGTGACATATCGATGGTAAAGTTGTAAAAAGGAGAGATCATTTCTTATCCGAGCTGGAGCATAGACTTCGACACGTATCCAAACAGCCCCAAATTTATTCAGTTGCGTCGTCGTCGCTGCGTTGATATTATTTGCTGCAAAGGAACGAACATTCGCGGCACAAAAAGCAAGAGACTTAACAGAGAAACTTTGACAGAGAGAGAAACAGGAGAGAGAGACTCTACAATGGCGAATGAGACGCCTCTGAGGAAAATATCGGAGGCATTCAAAGAGCTCGAGGCAGCCGTAAACTCCCAAACAGCAGAAATCGAGGTCGCGCCGTTCTCCAGCGCGTGCTCTCTGGTGTCGCCTCTGTTCGGATGCTTGGGCATCGCCTTCAAGTTCGCCGAGATAGACTACGTCGCCAAGGTACGTAATTTCAATTTTCCGTTTGGTTCCCGGGAAAATCAACGAAATGAACTCGAATCAAAATCTGGAACTTTTCCGTTTGAATTTGATCGATTTCTGGATGGTAACAGGTCCATGATCTCGCGGAGGCGTCGAATTCAATCTCGACCTTACCGGTTTTGCTCGACCGCGATATCGAAGGGGATCGCGTGAGAAAAGCCGGTAGTCATTCGAGGAATTTGCTGAGAGTGAAGCGTGGGCTCGACATGGTTAGGGTACTCTTCGAGCAAATTATAGTCACCAAGTACGTATTTTAAACTACTATTTCTTTGCATTATAGTTGGACTGTTTGCTTGTTCATTTCCAATTTCATTGTATATGTATTGCATCGAAAAGAGAAGGTGCTGATTCCAAATGGTGAGCTTCATCTGAGGAAAACATGCATTCTAGTACAAAGTTTATTGGGATTATTTGCCCATGGAAAATGCTAAATGTATTTTACGTTTCAGTCAAAAATCACACTTTGTACCATAAAGTTTCATTTTGGTTCAATTCTGTGTATTTATACCCAAAACTTGTGCACACTGTACCACTGCAAGTCTGCAAATGTTAGTCATTCCTTCAATTTTTGCGTTAGATGAGACAGATTAGTGACCTCTGACCACTATTTAAGCCAATGTAAGGGTAGAATTGAGATGAAAAATATATTCTCGCTCAAGCAGCTGCAGCAGTTGCACAATCTTACATGGATGCCTTTCTTTGCTGCATCTCATTTGTTGTTTCTAGTTGTTTTAGGAGAGAATGTATTTTTCATTTACTTGCTTTCCTGAAATTGGTTTAAATGGTGACCGTGTGGTGACTGATATGTTTAATTTAACATAGACATTAAACAGAGTTAGCATTGCTACAATGTAATAGGGTACGTATAAATTATTTACATTGAAATATCATAAACCAAAGTGAAATTCGCTCCAGCTAAGGGGTCGAAGTGGAATTTCCTACAAAATTATTTGGATGCCGAAGTTCCTATGATGTGGTTAAAGTATTAATATTTCTTTATTTTCATTTGGAGGGGAAATTCCTTGAAGGATCCTGCTTCCAAGGCTTATGCACAGGTGTTTGCTCCCCACCATGGGTGGGTCATCCGGAAAGCTGTTGCTGCAGGGATGTATGCACTTCCTACTAAAGAACAACTATTACATAAACTCAATGAAGATGGTGAGTGAATGAAAAGAGTATTACATTTGTTTCTTATCTTATAAATCTCAACAAAGAATTTGGCTGCAATAAGAGTTAAATTTTGACATTTTGTACCACGATGAGAGCTGGAGCTGAGGTTTCATTTTTAAACCTCTACACACCCCGTTCGACCTTTTGATCAGTTTGAGTGGAGCTTTATTGAAATGTGCTAATTTGAAATGTTTGAAAACTAAGGATTGGCTACTTACCTGGTTTTGGCTTTGCTTGGTTTCTAATTTGATATCTAGTCTTGCTTCTACCTTCTCCATCAGTTTAGATAAAACTTTTAAAACTCGAGTCTTCTAAAATTATATCTAGTCTTACTTCTACCATTCCTTTCATATATAACTTTTAATATCAAATTTTCCATAATTCACATTGTGTATCTGTGTCATTAAGATACTCTGATTTCAGATGATTTGAGTCTAGAGTTGAAATGTTCAGCACTCACTTAGTACCGGCTATATATGTCACTTTGCCAATGGATTGTGGAATAAAAGTTGGGAGGAAAAACCCTTGGATTGATTATGTTTGCCCCTTTCTTTTTTCCTTTGTTTCAAAGAAGCTTTTACTTTTATAGTTATAAGTCAACAGTTGTATTAACTCCACATTGCCTTCCACTTTGTTTATTTCAGAGAACTCAGCAATCGTTCAAATGCAGAATTACATATCTGCTTCGACGCCTCTAATTCTGTACATCGACAAACTCTACCATTCAAGGAAATTGGGTGTAGATTGGTAAAGCAGGAATTGCATTGTAATTTATGGAGAATTGTAACTGAGATAATTTAATCAGTTGGCATTATATATACATTAGTAATTTATGTCATTGATTTATTAGAAAATATCGTTGTATATTGTGACAAAAATTATTGATAAAGTGATGCAGGTTTGGATTCTCCCATGATCCAATATGCTCACAACTTTTTTCCTTTGGTACTGGATTAGAGTTGAATTGTGCTTTGCTCAACCCTATTTTTTCTGTTTATATCTGTATCGAATAATTGCAACAAGTGAATGATCCATTTGATCAACACAATTCGTGCGTTGTGTTGTGGTGATAATTTTACATAAACCAAAGTTTTCTGTTTATAAGCATAAAGAATTGGTTGTGTTGTGGTGATAATTTTACATAAACCAAAGTTTTCTGTTTATAAGTGTGTTCATAATTGCAACTTTAATTTGATCTACAAAAATACATGGATAAAGCATAAACTAGTGTATGAAATTCAAAATGCTATATATATGTATCTATATATATAAAGCAAAAGGCAGAGAATAGTGAAACATTCAAAATACCAGAAAATGCCCTTGGTTAATTCAAACATTAATAATTGAAATTATTAATTAAATGAGGATAATATGGTAAATTCACAATTTAAAAAATTAAAATTAAAAACAAAATAAGATAATAGATCCTGCTTTTATGGAAAATAACTACCCATTTTTTATTTTCTTAATTCTAAAAACTATAAAAATAAAAAAAATAAAAAAAAACCAATTGGCACACGCGTGAGCGTGTGGCAAGGGGCTAGTGAGTATAAAATAAATCCCTAGGAAAGCCTTGAAGACCAATTATTCCATCATATGAGTATAAAATAAAAATCGAAAATGAATTTAGGATTCCGAAATAATATACTAAAAAAATCCCAAGCTCATTTTAAGAAAAAACAAACAAATCAAATTGGGATTTTCAAATGAGAAGATGTGCACAAAATGGATGGAAAGACCAACTCATTCCAACAAATAGAAACCTACAAGGAGGAGAATGCAAAAAAGAACAAATGCATCAAGGTGTTGGACACCATGTTGACCTCACCTCCTTCTCAAGCAAATCCCACAAATCAAAGGATAACTTTTACTTGTCATACCTCACATCCCACCAAACAAGAAGTAGCTATGCCACCTCATATACCTTCTCAATGCCTAAGACCCCAAATCAAGGGGAGCCATGCAAAAGTCCTAGCAATCAATCAACTTTATCTACTCCAACTTGGATTATAAAAGGGAACTCACCACCTCCAAGCAAAGAGAGGATCAGCTGCCATGGCTGGGAAGCTCTCAAAATATCTCTAAGGCTTTCTCTTTTCTCTTAGAGCATCCACAATGGGAGGGTGTATTTTCGGGGGTGTAAAGCCACTTTTACATCCCCTTTACACCTTCGAGGGTTGTAAATGTGATTTTTGCTCCAGCAAAAAAGATGTAAATCTAAAGATGTATAATTGATTTCTTTCACCTTTTCTGCTGTAGGTCCCACTTTTGTCCATTTTTTCTCACATTTTCTCATGTAGGTCTCACCTGCAATGTAAAAAAAGATGTAAATGTGCATCTAAATTTGCATCTCTTGGTGGTGATGCAAATTTACACTCGTTTACATCTCTCCATTGCGGGTGATTCCGATCATAAAGGATGTATATGTAACATACACCTCATTATACACCCTCCCACTGTGGATGCTCTTATAAAGGCTCTCAAGCCTCTCTTTTTCATGTACGATGTAAACCATACTCAAATACAAATACAAAGTTATAAATTATAGTGGATGTAGCCCTATTATGGGTGAACTACTCAAACAATTGTGTTATGTGTGTGATTATGTCTTAATCCGTTAGGTACAAATTTCTCCGTTAACACAAAACCAAATGATTGCTCCTAATAAGCTAACCCAAAAAAGAAAACAAGAGAAATTGCAATAATCGACAAAAAACACCATAACTTCAATCGCCAGCCCACGTATATATTCTGTTTGGTTGGGCCAGGCTGCTAGTTCCTTCTTTCGCTAAACCCGGTGACCAGCCAAAATTTCTAACCCGACCCGAACCGACCGCCCAAACCCTTTCTCTGCGCGTCTTCGTGTTCGCGCCCTTTGTGTGTTGCTGTGTCTCGTCGACTGTGAGAGCCACCTCTTTCAGCTCCCCTCACTCACTTCCTTCCTTGTTCCTTCTTCAGTCAACCAAATCTCAAAACGCACGTTTCGCATCTCTCGCTGTAAAACCCTAATGACATAAACAAACCCCCAATTCCCAATTCCCAAACCCCAAACCCCAAATCTACACACAAAGTTCACCGAATGGAAGACTCAGACGGAGACATCAACTTCGACTTCGAGGGGGGCCTCGACGCCACCGCAGCGGCGGGCCCCACAAACCCGGGTCCCACCTCTAATTCTCTGATGCAGTCCGACTCGGGCGTTGCGGCGGTGGACACCAACCCTGCCGCTGCGGCGCCACAACCCAACCACCCGAATCCCAACCGGTCGGGTGGGCGGAGCTACCGCCAAACGGTGTGCCGTCACTGGCTGCGTAGCCTTTGCATGAAGGGCGAGGCCTGTGGGTTCCTCCATCAATACGACAAGTCACGCATGCCTGTTTGCCGCTTCTTCAGGTTGTACGGCGAGTGCAGGGAGCAGGATTGCGTGTACAAGCACACCAACGAGGACATTAAAGAGTGTAATATGTATGTGTTTGTTCCTTTATGCCCATTTCCGCGTTCATCTCTTTGTTTTTTAATTTGGTTGAATTTTATGGTTTTAATTTGTTGATTCCAATCTGGAGATTAATGGGTAGGATTGAATATACTTGAATAGAATTGTGTGCTTTATTGTGATACGGATGAGGTCAATTGCGTTACAAATTGTTGTTATTGGTATTTTGGACCCTCTGATTTGGTAGATTCAAGGTGCATAAGAGGAGGGTTGAAGGAAGAAAATTATCTATAGTTGTTGTTTCTCCTCCGTATTATTTGAAAGTCTAGTTCCAGTGTGAAGAAACCATCAATGTGTGAATCAAGGGTGTATGTTCTAATGGAAGGATTTTGTCATTGCAGGTACAAGTTGGGGTTTTGTCCAAATGGTCCTGATTGCCGGTATAGACATGCAAAGCTGCCTGGACCTCCACCTCCCGTGGAAGAAGTCCTTCAGAAGATTCAGCATTTGAATTCTTATAATTACAACACCTCAAATAAATTTTATCAACAACGGAATGCTGGCTTTCCCCAACAAGCCGATAAGTATCAGTCTGCACAAGGCCCCAATCCCGTCTATCAAGGTGTGGTTGGAAAACCTTCAACAGGAGAGTCTGCTAATGTCCACCAGCAGCAACAGGTTCAACAAACCCAACAACAGGTTGGCCACACGCAGACACAAAATCTACCCAATGGCCTGGCCAATCAGGCAAATAGAAGTGCGCCTTTGCCTCAAGGAATATCTAGGTGTGTTCAGAGTCCCAAGGTTTTTTATTAGATGTGTAAATCAGTTTCTGTATTCTTTATGGGCATTTTATAAAAGATAAATTGTTTGATCAATACTTTCCCAAGAGAGTTCTGCCCACTTTTATCAGCTGTAACTAGCTTTCTTTAAACCCACATTAGTTAATTTTATAAATAATTACTCTGTACAAGTTGTATTGACCATGTGATGTATGGGTTTTGCTTTTTCAATATGTAGTTTACTTCTCTTTATGATTTGTACATGGGAGGTTGCTATCTACCATTAAGCTCTTGAGCTAATTATATTTTGTTTTGAAAGATGAATGATCTACTCTTCTATTGTTCTATTCTTCCACTCCACTCAGAAGAAGGAAAATATGTAGCAAGACTTACTTTTGTGGGTGCTATAGACGTAATAAGAAACAGCTGAAATTATTTTTTGCTACACATAAATTTCACACTCAGTATTGGCTTTTGGAGTTATGCTTTAAGATGGCTGTATAGTTTCAAAGATTTTTATAAAAAAGTGCATGGGCAAACTGCTACTTGGAAATTTCCTTAATGCCCTACTATAATTATCATCTTTTCCGTGAAATTTTATTCTGTAGTAGACAATACTCATTTTTCATATGGTTCTTCCAAGGTGATAGAATATCTATAGACTGTTCCTCTATCCATGTTTAATTAGTGCACCTGTTTTTATAAGATTGAATGTACTTATTTATTTCGAACATCAAACCTTAGGTATTTTATTGTTAAAAGTTGCAACCGTGAAAATTTGGAATTATCTGTACAACAAGGAGTGTGGGCAACTCAAAGGAGCAATGAGTCCAAACTTAATGAAGCTTTTGACTCTGCTGAAAATGTTATTTTAATTTTCTCAGTCAACCGGACTCGACATTTCCAGGTAGGATTGCAAATTAAATTCCAGTGTGTTTCTCATAGCTTACTATTTTGTTCTTCTATCAAGTTATTTCAAATCCATGGTTTTAATCTACTGGAGGTGTTAGAATTAAAATCACCTATGCTTTGTCAGGGTTGTGCAAAGATGATGTCCAGAATTGGTGGGTCTGTTAGTGGAGGGAACTGGAAATATGCACATGGATCTGCGCATTATGGGAGAAATTTCTCTGTCAAATGGTTAAAGGTATTATTTTGTTGAACTATTTATGGCAACTTTCTATGTGTTGATCTACCCTTTCTGATTATTTTTTTCTGCTGCAAATGATGGCAACTATAGGATCCCACAACGTTTGTAGTTCTCAGTATCAAGTCTATGTGTTACTATTATTGTTGTGGTTACTCTTATGGATTGGGTCATGGTGATGAGTATGACTCTGTTACTCATCTCCTTGTTGAGCTTATTGTCGCAGACTAGAAAATTTACATTACTATTTCAAGATATTTGTTTGGGGACCAATATCAAAATAAATTATTAGTCCATCACATTAATAGTATACTTTGATTACGTGAGCCCATTTGGTCATAATCGACAATATCTTTTTTTCATTTGTTTGAGGCCTTGTATCTTAATAGTTACTATTTTTGTTTCTATTTCTTCCCATTGTTGGTTAGAATCAAGATTTGAGTTGGCTGTACTTGTATTCAGCATAAAATTATTTGGAGCTTTTAGTATTTGAATTCATAAGATTTGAACCTAACCCTCCCCTGTGTGTCACCTGAGCCAAGGTTCAGTTGGGGCCACTCCATCTGGAAACTAGGAGAAGCTAATAGAATAGAACAGCTGAAATTTAAATCTAATAAGCAGTAAAATGATAAGATGTCATGACTAATTGCAGTTTTTCTTATGCAGCTATGTGAACTGTCCTTTCACAAAACTCGTCATTTGAGGAACCCCTACAATGAGAACTTACCAGTAAAGGTACAATCTGGAGCTTTAAAACTATAGATCCACTCATGTAAACTCAGTTAGTTTTTGTGTGTTCTGTCTTGATTGATTGTGAAGTCACCCAATTATTATTTCTGTCAGGATTTTCAGCATGTATCAGTAGGCTGCAGGTTTGTCATGCTAATCCATGATTCAATCAGCCGAAAACATGATCTTACTATTTGTTTTTTTTCTTTTCCCGAAATTTGGTTTTGCTTTCACCATCACCATCCTAGTATTGTTAATAACTGTGATGGTTATTGGACTATGACTTAAAACTTTGAAAGACATCTTCAGAACCTTTCTGTATTGGGTGGTAATGTGTTACTGATCATGCATGCCAAGGCCTTTTGGGCAAAATTACACCTTTTCCCCTGTAGTAGTATTTTCTGGAGGGTGAGTCCACAAGTTGAATACTTGACGGGTGTATGAGTAGTTTTTTATTTTAATTTTATAAAAGACATAATGTTTTTTATTAGATGAAAGTTACAATACATGACTAGGAGTCCACTGAACAGTCTTGAGTACTAAGCTAAAACTAATAACAACAAAACATCATATATTGGAGTAAAACCGTAAATAAAAATAGGCTAAATCACAGCAGCACCCCCGTCATAAGATTTAGCCTGAAAGGAATAATTCTTAAACTCAGGGTGTGTGAATAAATTACAATGCAAGAATCTATATGTATACATGTATGGACATACTTTTGTATGTCTCTTTGTGGTTTGTGTGTGTGTTATGAACAAATTAGTTTGCATTACTTGAACCATACCATAGAATCTTGCCCAATGACACAGATTATGTTATGGGACCGTGCCTGGGCTAGGTGCTACAAAAATATACAGGTGTTGATGCATCATATAGAGCTTAAATGAAACTGTCTGATAGGACGCTATTTTAATAACTTCTAAACATGCCCAAGTTTTCTTAGCTGTTTCACCATGCTTTTTTACTTGCAATCATTATTATTCTGAACATGTATGCTGGCTGATGTGATACTACTTTCTGTAGACGTATCTTAAGACAAATAAAATTAGCTTTTGAGCTTATTGTCATACTTGTACAATTGCAGATAAGTAGAGATTGTCAAGAGCTAGAGCCCTCCATTGGTGAGCAGTTGGCTTCCTTGCTTTATCTTGAGCCAGATAGTGAACTTATGGTATGTTTCAGGGTTTAGAAACAGAAATATTTACAGTGTGTTTATCAGTTTAGTAAGAGTCAATTTTACTGTAGTGCATGGGGGCAGCACGAAAATTGTTTTGGACTTTTAAGTCTCCTTTCTTAAAAAAATATATTCAGTGTCCGCAACTTGATGAAACTGAATGTTGTATATCATTTCCTGTGTACAGGCAGTTTCGATTGCGGCAGAGTCAAAACGCGAAGAAGAAAAAGCAAAGGGAGTCAATCCGGAGAATGGTGGTGAGAACCCAGACATTGTCCCATTTGAGGACAATGAAGAGGAGGAAGAGGAAGAAAGTGACGATGAGGAAGAGAGCTTTGGTCCAGTTCCGGGGGTAGGAAATGAGGGCAGAGGAAGAGGCAGAGGAGGAATCATGTGGCCCCCTCACATGCCACTAGCAAGAGGTGGTAGACCTATGCCTGGGATGCAGGGTTTTCCCCCAGGAATGATGGGTGCTGATGCAATGCCCTATGGACCTGCACCTGACGGATTTGGTATGCCAAATCCTTTTGGTGTGGGCCCTCGTGGTTTCAATCCATATGGTCCCAGGTTTTCTGGTGATTTTACAGGGCCCACGCCTGGCATGATGTTTCGTGGGCGACCACAACAACCTGGATTTCCACCTGGTGGTTATGGGATGATGATGGGTCCTGGACGTGCACCATTTATGGGAGGCATCGGGGTTGGAGGTGCAAATCCAGGCCGGCCTGGTCGGCCAACTGGTATGTCTCCAATGTTTCCACCACCATCATCTCAAAACACTAACAGGATGCAGAAGAGAGATCCAAGGGGACCTTCCAATGATCGAAATGAGAGATATAGTGCTGGTACAGGCCAGGGGAAGGGTCAAGAGACTCCAGGTTCAGCTGGTGGACCAGATGATGAGGCACGTTATCAGCAAGCATCAAAGGCTTACCGGGAAGATCAGTACGGTGCTGGTAACAACTCTAGAAATGATGATAGTGAAAGTGAGGATGAGGCACCGAGGCGGTCAAGGCATGGAGAGGGAAAGAAGAAAGGGAGAGGCTCAGAAGGAGATGTTACCTCTGAGCACTAGCAGATGCTCTGCTAGTTCGGCAGTTTTAGTGATGCCACTAACGAGGGAACCTATTTTCCCCCTCGATAGATCAAACAATCGATCCTCGATATTTGGATTCTTTTAGGTGCTGAGGGAAACTGAGAACTGCAACATTCTCTTCCCATTTTGTTTAAAATTTCCAATATGCTGCAACATTCTGTGATATTTTTGTAACTGTATCCTGGAAAAGGGGATGAATGGGTTGTGGAAATTCAGAACTAATTCCACATCATGTTATTCAATATACAGAGAGGATTTGTATCGATAGTGCTGCATGATGAATATAAATGTCGTTTTTTATACAAGCAATAGTCTAAACTATTAAAAAGAAAATCACGACCAACTCTAAATTAATCTAATTTATGTTTTTTGGGATATAAGTGCCGTTTTCAAATTATTTCGTTTAGGCAGCAGTAAAGGGTAATTTTGGAAATTCAGAAAATGTAGAAGCCCAACTCACTAAACATTGGAGCCCAGAAAATAGGAACAGCTATTTGATGGGCTTGCAACAACAAAGTTCAGATGAATCAAATCCGGGTTAAAATGGGTATTTGCAACCCATGACCCGAAATTCTAACACTAAGAAGCTCCTCACCGTCTTCTTCGCCGCTTAAACCTTAAACCCTCCAAAAGTAAAACCCTAGCAACTGAAGTAGCAGCATTTGCCTCACATTCCGTACATTCCAACCATGAAGAACAAGAAGAAAGGAGGCTCAGCTCCCAAGGGACCTAAGGGAGCCAAAAAGAGCAAGACTTACTCTCTCAATGAAGACTCGTTTTTTAGCACTGAATCGAAGAAACGCCGAAAAATCGACCGTGATGAGATAGAGAGCGATTCAGACGACGACTATGGCGTCGTTGGGTCGGATGGCGAGGGCGGTGGAGAGGAAGCTGAGGAGGCTGAGGCTATAGAAGAAACTGCAGATGAGAAGAGGAAGAGGATAGCGCAAGAGTACTTGGAGAAGGTTCGAGGATTAGCGAGGAGGGAGAAGGAAGATGAGGAGGATGAGAGTGATGAAGAAGGTGAGAAGGAAGGCGAGAGAGACTCGCTTGTTGCCAAGATTTTGCAGCAGCAGCAGCTCGAGGACAGTGGCCGAGTTCGCCGTGCCATTGCTTCTAGGTAATCAATTTCGTTCTTGTATTTTGTTTTTTGATTAGATTGTAGGTGGTGTTTGGAACTTGACCAATTTATAGAGGCATTTGATCGGTATTCAGATTCAAAGTTGTGAACTTTATAAACTCCCCTTTGGGTTTAATGCTACTTTGATCAAATGCTATCATTAGCTTTCTTGCTTAAGCTCTGACACCTTAAGCTTGATGGTAATCTTGGGAAGTTTTTTTTTTAAACGTAGAATGGAGCAACTGGATTTTGCTCCGTAACTGGAGAAGTGTATGCTCTCTACCGGATTGTTTCATATTTTAATTTGTGGTAGCATGTTTCTAATTATCATGCTTAATCCTCTCATTTCAGGGTTCAAAAGCCTGAATCTACTGATGAATTTCGGATCTCAGTGAAGCATCGACAATCTGTTACTGCTGTGGCTCTGTCCGAGGATGACTTCAAGGGCTTCTCAGCTTCTAAGGATGGCACCATTCTTCACTGGGATGTAGATAGTGGGAAAAGTGAAAGGTATCTATGGCCCCGTGATGAAGTATTAAAGTCTCATGGGGTTAAGGATCCACAAGGTCGAGCTACAAAGCATAGTAAACATGTGTTAGCTCTAGCAGTTAGCTCCGATGGTCGGTATTTGGCAAGTGGAGGCTTAGATCGCCATATTCATTTGTGGGATACTCGTACACGAGAGCATATTCAGGTAGATATGATTGGTCAGTTACTTTGTTGGTTATGGAATAGAATAATATATGAACATATATGAAATTGTTAGGAGCTTTTAGTTTAATAAAAGCACTTAAATTGATCAGGTTAGAGGAATGCAGGTGACCTCTCATACTGTCAGGACAATTCACTAACAGTAAAATCTCTATTGTACTAGCAAGGGCCTACCTGCAAATCATGTAAATGACCTATTTTGTTTTTAATTTTCTTTAAACAACAAGAGAAGTATGTTTTTTGCTTGATCCACAGAAGTACGTGCTTTTCTATTGGCAAAGCAGCGTTCTCTGTAAGCTGAGTCATCTGTCGATCTGTTGGGATGCATTTCCAAGTTAAAGACACGGATTAGGTTTTATGTCTGATTTTCTGATTTATAGTTTAGAAAATATCCGAAAGAAAATACTAAAATGGCAGGCCTCTGAAAATATTGTTTCTCAACTTAAGTCTTTACAGTAAAAATATGTGATTTTATCATGTACATACACACTCTCAATCTTCTCCCTTCAAATTCTATTAGAAGCAACATTTGTGAATCTGGAAACAATGAGTTCTTGAGTGCTGTTCTTAATCAGCATTTGTGTTTTTTAACAGGCTTTTCCAGGTCATAGAGGCCCCGTTTCATGTTTAACTTTCAGGCAAGGGGCATCGGAACTTTTTTCTGGTTCATATGATCGAACAGTTAAGATATGGAATGTTGAAGATAGAGCTTACATAGATACATTATTTGGTCACCAAGGAGAAGTATTAAGTATTGATTGCCTACGAAAAGAACGGGTTTTGTCTGTTGGACACGATCGAAGCATGCAGTTATTTAAGGTAAGAAGTATATATTTATGCGTTTTGGGGAATGGTTGCAAATGAAACTTAGTTCAAATGAAATCACGTGGACAGAAGCTACTATTTCTGATTATTCTTTCCCCAATAGTCCCATTTCTAGAAACACCAACCATCATAGGAACCTCTAGTTTCCTTTGGATCCCATTGATATTGGAGTACACATTTGTAACCTTTTTAGGATGGACTTGCTTGGATAGTTTCTTTTTTTCAGTAGTATGTTCTATGTTACTTTGGTGTTTTTAAACCATGTGGTGTAGTTAGACTCAATTTGCTTTCCTTGTTCTTGACACCATTATCTATTCCCTTGATAGGTTCCAGAGGCGTCACGTTTAGTATTCCGTGCCCCTGCATCTTCTTTGGAATGTTGTTGTTTTATTAGCAATGATGACTTCTTATCCGGCTCTGATGATGGAAGTGTTGAGCTTTGGAGCATGCTGCGAAAGAAGCCTGTTTGCATAGTTAAGAATGCTCATCCTTGTTTGGCTGCACGCAAAAATGTAGAACAGAAGGATGGTGATAGAATTCCGAATGGTCACATAGGTAAATTTAAATAATAATTTTTGCTGGCTTCAAGTTTACTCTGTGTACACATTTCTTCCCAGTCAGTGAAAATATTTATTTGCTGTTTAGCTGGTTTATCCATCTCTCTTTGCATGTTTGAATTAGCATAAAAAATTGTACCTTGGGAAAGGTAGATTAAAGCGTCCAGTTATCAATGTAATCTTGTTACATATGTTTTTAACCTGCCTTGGGTTTCTGGTTGACTTGTGTTCTAATGGGATGGTATTGAATTCTGCTGTACAGAAAATGGTGACCACACTTCTCAAAGTTATGATTGTTCATCAACATATTCTTGGATCAGTTCAGTCACTGTTTGCAGAGGCAGTGACCTTGCTGCATCAGGAGCTGGTAATGGCTCTGTTCGTTTATGGGCTGTTGAAAGTGAGAGCAAAGCCATGAAGCCCTTACACGACCTCCCATTGGTATGCCAAAGCAATGACTACAAAACCTTGTTTGCGTCTTGTAAATCAAAAAGTTAACAAGCTTTTTTCTACTCTTAATATTTTTGTGCTGTGCAGGTTGGATTTGTGAATTCTTTAGCTTTTGCAAAATCTGGAGGATTTCTAGTTGCAGGAGTTGGGAAGGTGACCTCTCTTTTCTTTTTTTTTCTTCTTCCTAATCTTCCTATATCTAGATCATCTTGCCTTTTTCCTTCTCTTATTCCTTTCATTTTCTTTGACTGAAAGGATTGCTCAACTATAAGTTTGAACTTTGAAAGTGCATATGAAAGTTTGAAAAAGAAATATTGCAGCAAAACCTTGGAAGGGCTTAAAATGTTTTTCTTAATATATTTATATATATTTTTTTTCATGGAAAGGGCGGGGGTGGGTGTTTCTAGGCTTTGCTATTTTCATCACTAGGTTTCATCCTGCGTCTATTTTCTTGAGTTGTGTTTCCACATTTATCCATATTGTTCACTTCATGAAAACAATGTCAGCTTCTAACATTGTCAATTACCTTTGCAACAGGAACCTCGACTAGGAAGGTGGGGACACATCTCATCTGCTCGGAATGGAATTGCAATCCATCCCCTTAAGCTTTCATCAGAAGATACAGATAATTTTTAGCTCCCAATTTTGACAATCATACACTTTTGCATCTCCCAATTTTGACTACATTGAGTTGATAAGTCAGATGAAATGTTGTTCCTTCTGTTCAAAATTATATAGTTTAGCTTTACTTCTTTTTGTACTGTGGCTTGGTGTGTACCTTTATATCTATTTCATCTGACAAGGAGGCAGCGGAACATTTTTCAATCTGAATTAGAATCCGAAATTCAATTGTAGAAAGTGATGTAAAATTGTTGAGACCTAAATTAGCAGCCTATGGCACGTGCTTATCGAATGGCAAGGCTGGAAGGGCAATGTCAAATTGGTATTCCTTGATGTTAAATATTAGTTTAACATTTTTTTCAGCCATGACTCCACTATTACTCATCTTTTCAAGTTTATATTTTTATTTATTTTGGGTAATATGAGCTCCATTTATTTTTTAAAACCTAATAAAATAAAATGATATTTTGCATTTAAGGAAGTTTAAATTTTATCAAGTGTTGAATTGCCACATAGACCATTAAATTCAAATTTAACTGTTCACTGTAAGAAAATAGGATCATTAGAAGCCAAATCTGGCCCACGACTGAAATTAGAACATCCTTGGTAGAAGCAAGGGGTTTACAACTTTAAGTAAATTCATGCTCAATGGCCTGAAATATATAAAAAAAACAATCATCTGACGAATAATGCTGTGTTTGAAACAGAATATGCGGGTATCTTAATTGTAAAGTTGGAAACGCCAATAAAAAGCATCAAACTCAATGAACTCATTTCCGAAATCAAATTTTCATATTCAGAGAATGGGAGAGGAAGAGGGAGTGGGAGAGGGCAACTATATATATTGACAGGTCCTTGCTAAAGATACATGCAGCATGTGAAAAAAAAAAATCCAACTTCTGTAACACCTAGCTTTAGACAATTGATGAAACATAAAATTACTTGCTACGAGGTCCGCAAACACGAGAACCTTCCTTTCCCTTTTCCTCAATGTTTAAATGGATAGAGAGCGGGGAGAGGGGGGTAGAGAGAGAGGACAGATCAATTTCTTACAGGTGGGGAAAAAATATCAGCCCTATTCAAAAACACTGACTTCTGAATTTGATGATGCGCGCAAGGCCCTTTAAATGCAGTTGCCTAGCCCAACCAACCAGTGTCTAGATTCAACTTCCCACCCGATCAATGTCGTCGAGTAATGAGTTAGCCCAGTTAACTGATCATTAAGAATTTACATTAGTTCCCTTCCTTGTCATCTTTATCACCTGCAGTCCCTTCCTGAGTGCTTTTCGTTCCTGCATCCACTGCTGCAGCGTCAGAAGTGGTCGAACCAGAACTTGCATTCACATTACCCAACTCTGATGGCTCAGAAGGTTTTGAAGTTTCCTCAACTGATGATTCAGCTTTAGGTCCAGTAACAATTTCATCATTGCTTATCAAAGGTTCAGAGGATGATGGAGAACATTTAGCTGCATCTGGAGATTCCGTTTGAAGCTCACCATTTGGTAGGGCATCAGATGGTTCCCCAGAGTCCGAAGTCTCCCTCCATTCAACCCACTCCGGTGGTTTGTCAGTTTCAGTGGATCCTAGTTCTGGTGAATTGTTGGGCACGCTAACTTCCGAATCTTCAGCTTTTGTTCCTGGTTCTGGAGAAGATGTTGCTGTGTCAACTAAGTCATCATCTTCACCAACAATGACATCATCATCGCCACCACCATTGATTGCATTAGACTCCGCCGTATTAGGTGATGGAGAAGCAAGAGACCCAGTTGAACGATCTGTGGCAACCCTGTCATCCTCGAATGCAAACCAGTTGGAATTTGTAAACAGAGAACCGCTGCAATTAGAACAGTAACCATGTCAAGCAGTTGAAAGCAACAGATTTTAGACGTGCAAAACACCTTGATAAGCACAGTAACACCAGTAAAAGCCCAAAAAATCATTCAGAAGGGTAAGCTCTCTGTCACACAATCGGTGCAATAAGCCAAGGTAACAACATGGGAAGCCAATTATTTTCTTCAAATTTGGCATTATAAGCAAAAAACCAAGGGAAAAGTATGGACCGTACAGAGAATTTTTAAAATTAGTTCCCACTGTAATTGTAATTTAATCTCTAGTTCATATTGCATGTAGCATATAGACCTGGCCAGTAAACAAATTTTCTTTGCACGTGATCAGTTATTCTTTGGCTGGACGTACAGATGAAGGTGAAGGCAACCATAAAATCTCAATATTTCATAAGGAGCCAACATGCATTGACTGACCTATGTCAATGAAACTCCACAAAACTACTGAAGCTTCCCACAAAATCCATCATATTACAAGATTGTTTTGACACATATCCAGTATGTAGAATCACCTACCTTTCCTGGTCATCTCCCAAACGCAGTGAGGATATGACAACTTCAGCAGATTCATCATCAAAGTAGACATCCTGTGCCAAAATTATATTGTAAGGAATGTTTCCATTTACCAACAAAAGCATAAACTATATTGCAGCTTCTTAATGCTGAAAATCCCACCACTTGATTGTAATTAGAATGAATAGAGAGAATGAGAAAATGAGACAAAGAGATGATGATGATGATGCAAAAGGAACCTAGTTATGGTACTTGTTTTCCTATAAAAATAAAATTATACACGGACAACCAGATCAACATTTCACAAAAACTCACAACAAACTCAAGTGGCACCACCTTTTTTTTTTTCCTACTGAAAGCAAAAGAAACTAGGCCCTCCTCGGGAGTGTTTCCTCCTAAATTAAAATTCTGTTCAGATGATTGCGAAGAAAGTAATGCTCAACAAATGCCAACACGTCATACTTCCAAATCGAAAAATTTTGCGCAGGCCAAAAGGCCTCTACAAAGCACTTTTAGCAACTCAGTCCATATGTGTTCAGAAGATATTGCAATAACTAATGTTCCACTCAAGCAGAGGACTCATGCCTACAATATCAACAAGGAAAAAAAAAAACTGATGGAATTGAGTACAAATTGACAGTATATTTGATACCTCATCATCTCGTTCAAGTGAGCCATGGCCCTGAAAAACATGAAAAGAACAATTGCTGATCAGATGAACAATCATAAAAATAGGCACAAAGCCTTTAACCCTAATACAAAGCAAAACAAAAGATCTCAAGGGGTACCTCATCTAACTCATCGTTGCTGTAAATGCCATATCGAAAAGCCTGGCTTAAGTTATTAGCAAGGGCTGCAACATCATAATCCCTATCTTGGTAATCATCATCATCACTGTCCCTATTTCGATCATGTAATGCTGTTGGACGCCTGTTATAATTGATTACAACACGGTTAAAAAGCCAAAACCATAAGATCGGTAGGACAGCAGACAGTAAGAAAGAACAAAGGAAATCACATTGATAGACCAATATTGTCTCAGTGAGCTAAGAACAAACAAAGGTTTTACTAGAAAACAAACCACATGTTTTCATGTGTGTGATATCCGCTAAAAACTATGTGATTGAGCTTTACTCAGAACATGCAATTGCATATCAATAATAAATGTGAAAACGAAACCAACTACTTTTGAGAGGAGAAACAAACATACCCACAGGCCCACTGATAGACATTCTCCAATGCGTTACGCTTTGATAGGACATTTGTCTGCCAATCCGTCCACTCACTGTTTTCCTGCAAAGATAATTACAACTCTAAGAATGATGTTGGCAGTGAAAGCAGTAGGCTGCACCATACTTTTTGGTAGCATTATGTTTCTGCTATTCCGTAAAGATAACTACATAACTCCATGCAAAAGTGACAACCAACAACAGAGATGGATAAATTAATTGAAATAGCACTAACAAGGGGTTGTAGCATAAATGTAATCACTTTTCAACATCAAAACAGTGATAAACACTAAATAAAATTCCAAAAAAAAATCAATTTTTTGATGATCAAGTAAAATATCATAGCAACGAGCCTTGGAGGCGCAACCCATGTACAGAGAAAACAGAAAATCACCAGAGGAAGAAAGGAAGTGGAAGGAGTCTGTGAACCTCTAAAACAACCATCTAAGACTGGGCTACAATCCATAACAGAATGCTTCACTTTTTTTCCATAAACTTTAAAGAGCAACAAATATAAATATAAAGAAATAGAAATACAAACCTGCAGCTGTGCCTGAATCTCACTATTGTTATTCCCAAGCTGAATGAGTTTATTAGAAATACGTGTTAAATGTCCAATATTCCCTATTCTGGGTTGGGATCTACCCTCAGCAGGGACAGTTGGCTGATAGAAAAACAAAACAAAATAATTTTAAATACCGTTTCAATAAACTACGGGTGGAAAAAAAAGGGTACAAAATCATCTGGATGTAAGGTAATATTAATTTAAAAGTGATGGAACACCACCTTGTCTGAATCAGCTGCTAATGTGAAATTCTTTTCTGCTTCAAGTATTTTGCCAACAAGATTACAGTCACGAAGAAGATGTTCGACAAGAGGAGCATTCTTGCTTTCCAAACATGATACTATTATGTTCTCTATGTGGTGATGTAGAAAGTTGTTATATGGGTACCTGGAATTGTAATAGAATCAGTGAATAATGCCTTGTATTAAATCATATTTTACCAAACATGAAAAATTCTGAACTTACTTAAAAAATAAGTCTAAAATTCTTTGTACAGCTCCAAGACGAATCAATTCCTTCTCAGCAGCTTCACTACCAACCGTAAGTAATACTGAAATGAACTCTACAACCTGAGAAGTACCAAGTTCAAGCGTAAGCAGAATAAACTACAAAAATCGCTCTTAAGCACACAGTGATGGTTGTAAGAACATGCAGACCAATTATAAAGAAAACCTTGTGGATAGAGAGAGAAATTAAATAAAGCATTAAGAATGCAGTTCTTGAATTAGGGCAAGGAGCATTTGAGAACAAGAATTCACCTTCAAACGATGTTTTCCGAGAGGCGGTTGTAACTTGCCATATGTAGTTAACAGCGTATTGTCCCCCGATGAAACATCCAACAGCTTCAGCAAATCACCTAAAGATAGAAGCCAGATCAGTATTTAGTTTCTAGTGATAGAAGATAAATTACTTCTTCATGCAAAAGAAAAACTCTTCAAATTCCTATCGCCAGAAAAGAGGGAAAATAAATAGTAACACTATTCGGGCATTTGAACATGTAGGCAATAAACAAACGCAAGTACCATACTCTATAACAAATAACTTTACCTAGGCTCTCCAGCATGCCCACAACAGTCTCAGGATTAGCAGTAACTGTCGATCCATGAGTCATTTGACGTCCATACATATGATATGTTCCCAAAGTTAGCCTCCTAGGGTCTAACAATGATATGCATACCGACAATGAGTTAACAAGAGCAGACTTTGGCCGTGATTCCTCCAAAGCATGCCGAAACAATCTTCCTATAAAACTGCGTAAAATATACAAATGAACTTTAACACAAAAGCTACAGCAGAAATGCATGTATAATTCAAGTCAATGTGAGGATAAAACAAATGGTACCTTGGGCTGGAGATCTTAGAAGAAAGTCCAGGTGGAGCAAACCGTGTTATAGCACAAAGTGTCTCTGCTGCATTAGCATGCACTTCAGGAGAATCCTGTAAAAATGATGCTGATAAGAATTTTCCCAGTAATGCTTAACATTCTTAAAGCACAGCAAATAGACCATCTAGTATAGAAAAACATATATAAAAAAGGAACACATAAGCCAATTTTTTTTTTACAAACAGGCAATTTAAAATTGCACAGCCTTTTCTTTTTCTTTAGAGCAATAAAGCTGCAGCAGCATCTTCCATTAACAAGGCAATAGCAAGTTCGTGGTTACAACCTTTTTCTCCAAAAACTTCACATAAACTCTCATTTCAAACATGTTTAGGAAAAATAACAATAATAAATATAATAAAAGTAATCCCATAGGGTTGCATGGATATTCAATCTCACGAATATGTAAAATGAGTCACATACCGACGAGCTGAACTTGTCCACAATCATCTCTAGCACATCCGTATCTTGTATCCAGTGCATTGCCTCCGTATAGTTGGTATACATGTGTTCATCAGCACCAACCAGACGTATCAAAACCTGTACAACATATAAACTGAGTTTCAAGAAACACCTCGCCTAACTGAGAAAAGTCGATAAAAATCACACCAATTTTTAGGAGCCAACAAATATTTCTCTTATAGTAAGGAGTAATAATCAAAAGCCAAAGATGCTTCTTATTAAAAAAGATAAAACAAATAAAAACTCACGACGCTAATTACTGTTGTAAGAGCTTAAAGGAGTGTATTGCAGAAGCTCAATATGAAAAGGAACAAAGGTGATCTATAACCAACCTCCATGATGGATGTAATTCCAATCAGGTCAACTAGCTTCTTGACAATTTCTTGATGACCCTGGATGTGCAGTTAAGAAAGACATCAGCCAAAAAATACTCTAGAAATCACATAACTTAACTCATGGAAAGCTAAAAGATCTATCTCCTTCAAACAGAATCTTTAATGCAACAGTAAGTATCTAGAGTTGAAATAAAAATATCAGAGTATACGTCATCATAAATAAATGCATTCGATGAAAATATGGTCATATTTTAGCATGCTACATTCAAGAAAACATATGCTACCAAACATCTACTAGTAATGAAATATTGAGCTTCATAAACAAAGCATTAGTGCAAATTAAATATTAAAAACTAAATGATAACAAAGTAGAATATATGCCATCAAGTCAAAGCAGGCACACAGAGTTAATTTGAACATCCAAAACCCATAAGCATCTACCACTTCCCCACACCTTAAAATGGGGACACATTAGGTTCAACCCATTTGAGGAGAACATCCTCATAAATCACAGTTATAAAGACACGCACACCAAATAACAGAATTTACAAGTACCAGGCAGCACTTTTTGAATTTGCAATTCTTCTTACATAGGCACATATAATTTGAAAATTTCATATATTTTTCCCTTTCAATCCAACAGAATGTGCATTTAAGACACCCACTGGGCCATGCCACAAAAAAAACTAAAAAAGCTAAAGTTTAGCAAAAAGGATTTTCAAACAGAAACAAAAAAGAAATAATGGACTTACCTGAATATAGGTCAGGAAAGGAACCGCCTTGCGCAACAGCAGGCAAACAACAACCTAGGATGGACAAATTAGGAAATGTAAAATCCCAGGAAATATAATACTGACATTTTTTCACCCAATTTTTTATTTTTAAAGAAAAAAAAAAAGAAAACGGGGGAAAATGAGGGGAAACCTCAAGTACGCATATTTAATCTTACATTGGTAAAATTACTTTCATGCCGAACCCTGAAGATAACATTTAGAAGTTCAATAAAACAATACCTTGCTGAAGTACCCGGCCAAGAGTGTGCTGTGGGAATTATTTGGTTCCAAAAAGGAGAACAACAAGTTCATCAACTGCCAAGAAGGACATAACCAAGTGAATCAATTGCTGAATTCTGTATATTTTTCAAACTATCAACCAGAGGCAGTGAAATTGAATAGTTAGAATGTCAAACCTCATCATCCTCTACCAACGTTTTGAGTATGATATCAACTTCACAAGTAAAAATCTCACATGCAATAAAAGGAAATCTGTATACACAACAAATTAACAAGATTAATCACACAGATAGAGAAAAGCATCAATGCTCGTGTTTGCATGTATACTCAAGGCAACCTACTTGAAAGTTCGCCTCTTTTCAGCATCCTCAGGAGCTTCTTCAACAATGTATCGGATGAGCTGCTCAACCTGGGCTCTTTCTCGCAGACTGTAACACAGGGCAGCGCAAATAATCAAATAAAAGAACTGATCTTGAAAAACGAACAGGAGTCTCTCAGATTGTAACCAAAAAAAGGAGTTTTGCATATGCTCAAGCACATAAAGAACACAACGCAACTAATAACCGGGGGAAAAAAAAATTAAAAATAAATATTCTGAAGACAAATTTATCTTTCCAGGCCTGGGAAAGGGCTTATGACAAAACTAAATCACTCATATACCCAATTGGATGGAAACAAAATTTTAAAGAATAAATACATTCCATCTACATTGAAAAAGAAAACAGAAGTGAACTTTCAACGTTAACATTTCAAATCACTGAGGCATGGAAATTAAGTAATTCACGCCAAAATCTCAGATTGAAAGCCAAAGGATTGGCATCATGTCTGTCAACAGCAGTACCAGATATATAAACCCAAAATCATTAGAAATCATTTTTAAAACAACTCTGAGAAGGAAATATTCAATTTCTGCTTTCATCTTTAAACCCATTGACCTGTTGCCACATCCGCACATAAGAATACATAACATCATTTCGGACAATTATATGACAAGCAGCCCTCCCCTAAAGACACTAAGCATAAAAATAGTACCTCACTCAATGAAGCACAATGAATAAGCAAATAGTCGACAAAAGGAACCAAAGGTAAAAGATAGAGGCAGTGTGGAAATGGAAGGAGCATTACAAATTGATTAGACGCCCATTGAGAGATTTGCATTCTTGAATAATTTCATCTTCATCAAGAAGCTCTTCCAACGTGAAATTGTCCTTGTCCAAAATTGTCTCCACCTGAAACATAAATAAAATTAGTACAAAAAAACAGAAATTTGGCTAAAAACAAACAGCAAAGGACTAGCCTTCCATATTAGTGAAAGCTGGTTGTATCAACCACCTGAAATAAGTCAACTAACAAGCAGCTTAGGTGACAGCTGGAGATCATCTCCAGCCCTCTAGAGAAGGGAATAAGACTGGTGCAATTCAGAGCAGATACAACTGATGCTTCAAGAGGTCTTAAGCTACATTTATTCAAGCCCTACTTTTGCAACTCACACTTTCAAAAAAATTCCCATTAGCAATTGTTAAAAGTGAAACATGTTAGAACCAGAGCATGCAAAAAATACTAAATACAACATATGCTTCAAGGACCCTTTAAGCCTGCCTATAATCATGTCCTAATTTTAAAAACCTCTCTTCCAAAACCACCATCCATAAATGGTTAAAGTCTCTAAAGTGGGCACCATGGAGGTTTTCAAAAGGCCTATAAACCTCACGCAATCCTCAATCCCCCCCAGTAAAATTTACTAAATTGCAGTTTATATATTGTCCTAGTCCACACTTAATGGCAACTGCTGCATAATGACATATTAGAGAGTTTGTACTATTAAAATAATCGGTTATCACTAAACCACTGATCCAAATTTCGGATCCAATACATTCTTGAAGAGACGTGACACCTAGAAAACTTTCTGTGAAATTCAATGGCCAATCCCCCTGGAGTTGGCATACAAGTGACACAACAGAACAATACTTCCTGAGATCCAACATTCCAACTTTGTATTTCTGATCCCACATTATCTCACCGAGATTCAATCCAAACAGAGAATTAAGAGAAATCAATAAAACCTCCCCACTATTCAATCCAAATATGTTAAAAAGAATCCCATACTATGCCACACACACACCCAATGGCAAAAACACGAGAAAACAAAAGAAACGCCGTCGTATAACTCACCGGAGACGCAGTGGACAATCCCGCCATACGCCAAAACATGGTGAATTGAGGAGCGAAAACGGCCTCCGCGAGCCGAACTGAAGTTGGATCTGCGAAACCCCGAGAAACAAACCCTAACGCCCCGTCACAAAATCCCCAAGCGAGAATTCACCAATCGCCGAACCGCCGGAGACACCCAAATGATCCAAGCATTCGCTACGAAACCCTAAAAATTGGAAGACGCGGATTCGATTGGATCTATATCGAGGGCCACAGAGAGATAGAAGAAGAACCCAAAGGCCTGCAATCGCGGGCGGTGGGGGGTATGAGAGAGTGTATATTGGAGATGAAATGGAATTATAGAAAGGGTTGAATTATTATATGGCTTCGAATATATATTTTTTTTCTTCGTGTTTTTATATATATACTATGGTTTTGGTTTTAGTTTTAGTTTTTTGGGTTTCAAAAAAGTCTTGGATAGCTATTCGAAGTTTGTGATAGCCTGGAAGGATTTTTATATTATAATGTTTGTTTTGTTGGATTATGATTTGGGCATGGAAAATACGTCATTCTTTTGCTATGTTTTTGTAAAAAAAAAAAAATAGATATTTTGATTGGCAAAAATAATAGGTAAGAGTTGAATTTATGTTGTCAATGTAGTAACTAGTCTCTCTGCAAGCGCTTTCGCGTCTGTGAGAAGTTTTTTTTTTATTTATAAATTTTAATTTATTTTAGAATTAAAAATATAATGGGTAGTTGTGTTTCATAAAAATAGAATCCATTACCTGAATTTTCTTTTCATTTTAATTTTTTTAATATGAAAAATTATGAATTTACCATATTATCCTCATTTAATTAATTATTTCAATTCTTAATATTTGCATAAACCAAAGGCATTTTCTCGTATTTTGACCAACGTTTTGAGTATGATATCAACTTCACAAGTAAAAATCTCACATGCAATAAAAGGAAATCTGTATACACAACAAATTAACAAGATTAATCACACAGATAGAGAAAAGCATCAATGCTCGTGTTTGCATGTATACTCAAGGCAACCTACTTGAAAGTTCGCCTCTTTTCAGCATCCTCAGGAGCTTCTTCAACAATGTATCGGATGAGCTGCTCAACCTGGGCTCTTTCTCGCAGACTGTAACACAGGGCAGCGCAAATAATCAAATAAAAGAACTGATCTTGAAAAACGAACAGGAGTCTCTCAGATTGTAACCAAAAAAAGGAGTTTTGCATATGCTCAAGCACATAAAGAACACAACGCAACTAATAACCGGGGACGTGTTGTGGATTCGTGACACCCGTGTTGTCGATATAATCGTCACACAAGAATTTATAATGTTTATGGATAAGTCTCGTCTGATGTAGATTTTGGGCCCTTAGAATGTAATACTTCTTATTTTTGGGCCTTCGGCCCCAATAATACCCAAAAGGGAAATAAAAAAAAACATTTTTGTAACCAATAACTTCACTGGTTCTATGCTGAAGACGGGAAGCAGAGTCAATAGCTGCACAACCTGCACCCGCCATTCATTGTTGGCACGCGCTTCTTTCAATTGTTCGCTCCACAATTCGAATCAATCTCTAATCAAGCTAACAATCCGAACCCTAAAACCCTAATCCCACTGGTTTCCACCAAAACCCCTTTCACATTATCTACCAATTCCCTATCAGATCCCCAAATTCACATAAATCCTTAAGCTTTCAATTCTCTCTAGGGTTTTAAGAGCTCTGTAACTGCAAAAAAGGAAGTGGGTACTCGTCAAAATGCTGGGTGGGTTGTACGGAGACCTCCCTCCACCGTCTTCGGCGGAGGAAGAGAAACCCAGCAACACCACGGTGTGGTCGAGCAGCACCAAAATGGCGCCGCAGACTCTCCGAAAACCCGCATCCGTTTTCGCTCCACCGCAGACGATTCTCAAGTCCCAAAACAAGCCCAAGCCATCGAATTTAGCCCAGCCCAAAATTACAGCATCAACGGTAATTGCAACGTCGGTAATACAAAATGATATGGTGCAACCTGCCCTGGTGGGGGTCACGTCGACGGTGCTAGAGGAGTATGATCCGGCGAGGCCCAATGACTATGAGGAGTACAAGAGGGAGAGGAAAAAGAAGGCAATGGAGGCTGAGATGAGGCGAGAACTCGATAGGAGGCGGCAAGAGGAGGAGGAGAAGGAGAGGAGAGAGAGGGAGGAAGGAAATATTCAATTTCTGCTTTCATCTTTAAACCCATTGACCTGTTGCCACATCCGCACATAAGAATACATAACATCATTTTGGACAATTATATGACAAGCAGCCCTCCCCTAAAGACACTAAGCATAAAAATAGTACCTCACTCAATGAAGCACAATGAATAAGCAAATAGTCGACAAAAGGAACCAAAGGTAAAAGATAGAGGCAGTGTGGAAATGGAAGGAGCATTACAAATTGATTAGACGCCCATTGAGAGATTTGCATTCTTGAATAATTTCATCTTCATCAAGAAGCTCTTCCAACGTGAAATTGTCCTTGTCCAAAATTGTCTCCACCTGAAACATAAATAAAATTAGTACAAAAAAACAGAAATTTGGCTAAAAACAAACAGCAAAGGACTAGCCTTCCATATTAGTGAAAGCTGGTTGTATCAACCACCTGAAATAAGTCAACTAACAAGCAGCTTAGGTGACAGCTGGAGATCATCTCCAGCCCTCTAGAGAAGGGAATAAGACTGGTGCAATTCAGAGCAGATACAACTGATGCTTCAAGAGGTCTTAAGCTACATTTATTCAAGCCCTACTTTTGCAACTCACACTTTCAAAAAAATTCCCATTAGCAATTGTTAAAAGTGAAACATGTTAGAACCAGAGCATGCAAAAAATACTAAATACAACATATGCTTCAAGGACCCTTTAAGCCTGCCTATAATCATGTCCTAATTTTAAAAACCTCAAGCAATGCCGGCAATTCCAAGGTCGCCGTCTCCACCGAATAATGGAGATGGTTTTACCATTGGGAAGTCGGAGAGTGGCGGGTTGGGGTTAGGGGCTGGCGGCCAAATGACCGCGGCACAGAGAATGATGGCGAAGATGGGGTGGAAGCAGGGGCAAGGGCTTGGGAAGCAGGAGCAGGGGATCACTACTCCCTTGATGGCCAAGAAAACGGATAGGAGAGCCGGGGTGATTGTGAATGCCAGTGAAACAAAGCCAGAGAAGAAGGCGAAGAGTGTCAGCCTTAATGGGCCACCCACCAGGGTTTTGCTGCTTAGAAACATGGTATGTGTGTACTTGACTTTCTCATGCTTATTGATGCTTTATGCATGCAAATGTACAACGGTGTGGTGTATATATTTGAAAGTTCAGCCATTCCATTTTGTTCATTAGAGTCATGATGATACAGAATGTGATTTATAATCATTTGAAATTCAAGGTGGATCTTGTTATATATAAAGTACATGAGTTAGTACGAAGCCTACTTCATAAGATCCCTTTTTAAGAAGTGCTACTTAGAGGAGATTGAAATGGTTCAATTATTTGTGATACTCTGAGCATGTCTTATTCTATGTTTTTTATAACCTTCGGTTGCATTAGTTTTATTTTAGGTTAAACATGTCAAGTCTTCTTGTTTCTTATTTGACCATCCACTAGCCTGGAACAGGATGAGCAATTATTAAATCCAAGGACTGTAAATAAAAACTAAGTTGAAAGGGTTGTTCGTATTTCAATTGGATCAGTGTTATGTTCACAAATAGCCGGGGTGATTGTGAATGCCAGTGAAACAAAGCCAGAGAAGAAGGCGAAGAGTGTCAGCCTTAATGGGCCACCCACCAGGGTTTTGCTGCTTAGAAACATGGTATGTGTGTACTTGACTTTCTCATGCTTATTGATGCTTATGCATGCAAATGTACAACGGTGTGGTGTATATATTTGAAAGTTCAGCCATTCCATTTTGTTCATTAGAGTCATGATGATACAGAATGTGATTTATAATCATTTGAAATTCAAGGTGGATCTTGTTATATATAAAGTACATGAGTTAGTACGAAGCCTACTTCATAAGATCCCTTTTTAAGAAGTGCTACTTAGAGGAGATTGAAATGGTTCAATTATTTGTGATACTCTGAGCATGTCTTATTCTATGCTTTTTATAACCTTCGGTTTGACTATCCACTAGCCTGGAACAGGATGAGCAATTATTAAATCCAAAGAACTGTAAATAAAAACTAAATTGAAAGGGTTGTTCGTATTTCAATTGGATCAGTGTTATGTTCACAAATTCACCTTCTTTATTTGAGCAAGTTGTAAAATGGAAGGCGTAAGAAATGGCTATTTTTTTCTTTCTGTTTTTTTTTTGGTCTGAATGGCTCTTTTTTTCTTTGACATGAATAAAAAAGTTATGTTTTTGGTGCACAAGATGTCTGGTTATTGTGTCACGTAAACATTTCTTTTATACCTTGACTTTGATAGATCATGATTTTGAGACAATTTCAATCAATTTTATGCAGTTTCTTGTTGTAAATGTCTTTTCTTTATCACAAAACTCAAACATAATTTTCATGCTATGTGTTATGTAGTGCTTGCCGCCTTCTACCTGTGTTGTGAATGTATTGTTTAGGAGGTTCACTTAGAGTGCTACAGTCGGCTAACATCTTGTTGATTGTTTTTCCTAGTTGAGCTTCCTGGTTTCTGCAGTAGGACTAAATAATTAATAGTTTCCAGGAGAGTTGGCTAACAGATTGTTTATTGTTTTCTTCAGCTGCCCTCCCTTTTTTCTCTTTTGTTTTCTCCAAATGCCCTCTGATTTTGCTTCCAGAACTGTTTCTTCCATATCTATTTTGTGGCATGCTTTAATAAGCATAAACCATGACTTGGAAAATATGTATAGCTAATTGCTGGATTGAGAAACTATCCAATCGAATTAGCTTTTGGCTCTTGGGAGATAAATTTGACCATTAAAACAGATAAATTTACTGCTTAAACATAGCCACAAATTGATGGCCTCATAGGATAGGATGTCACATTAGAATCATATCCATTTGTTAAGTTTAATGGACATGAGGCATCACATTTAGAAACAGTTAACTGGGTGGAACACAATGTGGAATGGTGCATTGCATAGGGCATCTATTTAGAGTCTTAGACCAAAGGTTTGTAAGGGCAATCAAAATGACATGGTTGATTGTAAGGGTTTTGCTTCTGTAAGACATGGATAGTTGTGAATTGTTCGTAAGATTAATGAATGAGGCTTCATTGGAAGCATGAAAGATGGTCCATATTGTTCTTCACTGAATAATAAATAAGCATGTTTCTAGAAAACGAAGAACAGAACAATATATAAGAATTTCTTAGATAGACTTCTAGGAAAATACTTTAAGGCTAATGAAGCCTGATTTTGTTCAAAGGGTCTTTATGAAAATGTACTTGTATCTAATACATAATACATAATAGCTTCCTGGTTTCTGCAGTAGGACTAAATAATTAATAGTTTCCAGGAGAGTTGGCTAACAGATTGTTTATTGTTTTCTTCAGCTGCCCTCCCTTTTTTCTCTTTTGTTTTCTCCAAATGCCCTCTGATTTTGCTTCCAGAACTGTTTCTTCCATATCTATTTTGTGGCATGCTTTAATAAGCATAAACCATGACTTGGAAAATATGTATAGCTAATTGCTGGATTGAGAAACTATCCAATCGAATTAGCTTTTGGCTCTTGGGAGATAAATTTGACCATTAAAACAGATAAATTTACTGCTTAAACATAGCCACAAATTGATGGCCTCATAGGATAGGATGTCACGTTAGAATCATATCCATTTGATAAGTTTAATGGACATGAGGCATCACATTTAGAAACAGTTAACTGGGTGGAAGACAATGTGGAATGGTGCATTGCATAGGGCATCTATTTAGAGTCTTAGACCAAAGGTTTGTAAGGGCAATCAAAATGACATGGTTGATTGTAAGGGTTTTGCTTCTGTAAGACATGGATAGTTGTGAATTGTTTGTAAGATTAATGAATGAGGCTTCATTGGAAGCATGAAAGATGGTCCATATTGTTCTTCACTGAATAATAAATAAGCATGTTTCTAGAAAACGAAGTACAGAACAATATATAAGAATTTCTTAGATAGACTTCTAGGAAAATACTTTAAGGCTAATGAAGCCTGATTTTGTTCAAAGGGTGTTTATGAAAATGTACCTGTATCTAATACATAATACATAATTTTTTCATAATTTTCACATAGAATTTTATGCTTAAAACATATTAGCTAATATACTACCTAGTTTTACATAGAAAAACATTTTCTGTTACCTTGAAGCTCTTCAGGCCTTCGATAGACTGATTTGAGTGCATTATTGAGTTAACTTAGTAGACTACCGGGTTTAAGTCTATAAACTCTACAGAGGGTTGCATTTCTTTCCTGTATGTCTTGCCCGTGTATTCTACATATCATTGTTCAAGGGGTTGATGGTTTGTGAAACGGCATAACATAGCACGGTAGTTAGAAGTAATGCTATAACCCTGTTAAACTTTTCCCTTTAAAAGAAGCCATAAGTCCTCTTAGGTTTTTTTATCATCTGGCATGGCTTGAAGATTGTCTTAAAGGTTCTTCTCATTGTGGTGCTTGGGCTTTTGTACCTAAGCCCAATTTTCTTCTCTGTATTGTTAATCTTTTCACAATGTAAGGCCTAGTCTCACCGTAACTTTAATCTCAACTATCACTTATGTCTTTCATGTCATTCGTTTCCCTTAAGCGGGACTAGAGTTTAATCTCCACTACTGAAATGGGTTTAGTTCTAAAATAATGCTAATGAACGTATTGGAACTTTACCTATGTTTTATGCTATGAAAATGACACAATAGGAAAGGCAGTGGGTTGGTGAACACAAGCTTAACTAGTGACCATTTAACATGAAGAAAGAGTCGGTTTTCTTCAAGTTAATTCTATGACCGATATTATTATATTGATTTCGTGTTCATATCTAGCCTAGCTTTGGTTTTGTAACACAAATTCAAGCTGATGTGCTTTGTTGTTGAAGGTGGGCCCTGGCGAGGTGGATGATGAGTTGGAAGATGAGGTAGCATCAGAGTGTGCAAAGTATGGGACAGTGACCCGGGTGCTTATATTTGAGATAACGGAGCCAAATTTCCCGGTGGATGAGGCAGTGAGAATCTTTGTGCAGTTTGAGAGGTCTGAAGAAACGACTAAAGCATTGGTCGACCTTGACGGTCGATACTTTGGAGGTAGGGTGGTTCGCGCCTCGTTCTATGACGAGGAGAGGTTCGGCAACAATGAGCTGGCTCCAATGCCAGGAGAAATTCCCGGGTTCACTTGAATCACAGGGCATCAAATGCAAGTTGATTTTCCCACATTTGTAGACTTTACCGAGAAATAAAGGGAGAGATGAGGTTGGGATGATTTCGCATTGCCATTCAAGTTGCTAGTAATATAGCAGGTAGTAGTGGGCATTCAAACTTGGGAGTAGCTTTACTTTTTGTGGTCGGGTGGGTGAAGTTGATAACTGCGACGGTAACAACTGTAACAAAAATACAGTAGTTGCAAAGTCTTGTAAAAGGTGATTGATTGTTGTTGCTTGCTTCCAATTTCCTGTCGCTTCAGATTTTTATTGTTTTACACAAATTATTTTAATTTCGTAGGGTGGAACAAAATCTGATTGCACAAAATGGGGTTTTTCACCGCAGCATACAACTACATAACCACACACCTCACACCTCACACATCCCCTCGTTTAAGTTTTGCATCATATATTTCTAATTCTGATTAACTATTGTAATATATTATTATTATATAAGAGAGCCTGCTGCGACTGAACGGTGAGGGTGGCGGTGGGAGGGGCAAAACGGGAAATAAAGAAGAGAGTTTTGTTCTAAGGGCAGTGGGATGGGGAGGTGTTGTTGGAAGCCCTGGCTTCATGCAGCTGGTGGTTGTGGAGCCCACCTTCGTACACGTACATAGCCGAGTAAACGCTCATACTGTTGTTGTTGGTGGCTGTGGTGTCGCTGGTGTTGTTATTGTTGAAGGCAGGCAGTCTGCTTGAAGTTGGAGAGGCTGTGGTCGAACTCTCACAGCCGCCAATCACCACACTACTGCTCGGCGTTGCAGCTGCTGCTGCCGACGTGGTGCTGGCTTTGGGGACCCCACCGCAGACCGAACAGCAATTCGAAACCTTCCCTCCACAAACAACAACCAAGTGAAATAGAATATATAAAAAATGTGTGTTTGGTTGGTGAGAAAATGCAGGAAAGAAAAGGAAAGGAAAGAGGGAGGTGGCGTGCGTACATTGGGGGAGCGGCGGCGGTCGGTGGTGCCGTCGGGTTCTACGAGCCAGCCGGCCTCG